ATCAGACGGGCAAGAGACTTATTTGGGGAAGCTCCTGTGAAGGATAAAGGAGGAAGCAGCAGGCAGGAGGGGACTTCAGACCACGCTGGCATCTGACACCCGTGAAAGGAGAGGGAAGGAAGGGGCCACATGGCTGGGTAGCTCTGAGGAACTCTTGGTGGGTCAGCGGGGCACAGGCAGGGCTCTGGGTGGCAGAGCACCACAGTGGGCACACAGCCTGCACTAGGGGCTCCAGGAGCCCTGGTGCCCAGCCGTTGTCTGGGAGCAGCCCAAGGTGGGAGACTGCTGGAGAGGGGAGCGCGGCCTTGGCACAGGCTAGATCTGAAGCTGCAGTCAGTGGAGGTGTGTCAGCTGTTCTCTGAAGTCGGTTCTCCTGGGGGACATCAGAGCGGTGTACCCCCGTGGGTGCCTCAGGAGCTTCTGGGCTTTCTGGGCAGTTTTCCAGTTCCCAGTGGTGGTCCTCCCCAGGCCCTGCCACATTCCTACAGGGAGTCCCTGAGATCCTGCTATGACCATGTGTTTCCAGGCCCCTTTTTGCCACAAGCTAGCTGGGGCCGCTTTCAGTAACAGGCAAACCAAGGAGCTCTAACTGTTAACCTGTGCCAAGACTTGTGTTTGAAGATGTCCTCTGAAGTACTGTTTACAAATTTTAACATTAAAAAGTAACCCAAATTGGGGGCTGGCATAGTGGTTAAGTTCATGCACTCTGCTTTGGCGGCTCCAGGTTCGCAGGTTTGGATCCCAAATGTGGACCTACACACCACTCATCAAGCCACGTTGTGGTGGCATCCCCTATAAAATAGAGGAAGAGTGGCACAGACATTAGCTCAGAGCCAATCTTCCTCACAAATAAAATAAAATAAAATAACTCAAATGTAAGGTTGCATATCTTGTTAGGGGTTTGGGTTACACAGCTGCATGCATTTGTAAAAACTCATTAAATCGTACACTTAAGATTTGTGCAATTTTACCTCAAAAGAAGAAAAAAAAGAACTCACCAACAAAACAAGTTACCCTAGATGCCCTAGAATGAAGGAATTGGTTAAAAAAACTATTAAGTATTCATGCAATGAAATGTTGTGCAGCCATTAAAATGTTTCAAAGGCTAAAGCAAGAGGGATACGTTCTTGTTAATACGTGTACTAGTCAGGGTTCTCTGGAGAAATAGAACCGATAGGTTTATTTATTCATTCATTTATTAGAAGAAATTGACTGACGCAATTCTGGAGGCTGGCAAGTCCAAAATCTGTGGAGCCAACGTCCCAGTTCAAGTCTGAAGGCCACTGGGCAGGGAATTCTCTCTTACTCAGGGAAAGGTCAGGCTATTGTTCTCTTCAGGCCGTCAACCGGTTGGATGAGGCCCACCCACTCTAGGGAAGGCAATCCCTCTTACTCAGTCTACCGATTTAAATGTTAATCTCATTCAAAAACACCCTCACAGCAACACCCAGAATAATGTTTGATCAAGTATGTGAGCTCCTGTGGCCCAAGCAAGTTCAAACATAGGATTAACCATCACAATATGGTTAATGAAAAGATAGGGTGATAAAGCTTCCTGGTCCTAATTTCCTAAAGCACACATGAATGAAGTGCACGTGCGTGTCTAAGACATGGCACACACATTACACGTATATTCATAGACTAAAGCCAGACTGAGATGTCGGACGTGGTTTTGTTTGGCTTGTGAGATTGCAAGTGATTGTTATTTTCTTGTTTCCTTCTTTGTTTTCCACGCTCCCTCTGATTTGAATGAATCTCCCGCCTTCGACTCCAGCCTCCGTTTCCTCATCTGTAAATGTCATAATGCCACACTTGCTCCTCATTGTGAACACGATCGTGTGTGTAAAGAACCAACACAGAGCCCGGGACGGGGAGGTGCCCAGCAGCCCTTAGCGTCTGTCCTGTCCGCCCTCCTTCAGGCCAAGGTGCAGACGGAGAATGGCTTCTTCTCGTTTTCCCTCAGCCCACCTCAAGGTAAGGGGCAGGAGCATTCTGATATTTCACAGGAAGGCTCCCAGCAAACTCCAGCAACTCAGTGACTTGAGCTTCCTGACCCCAGCCTGCTCTGTCCTGGGCCACGCAGACAGGGAGGATTTCTGGAAGCTGGGCTGCTCACCCTAATTCAAGTGCAACAAACTCACAGTAACACTCTCCCGTCAGGCTCACTGAGGGTTCGCCCACCACTGGCTTCCTCAGGGACGCCGCCAAGTCAGCCCTTCCCACGGCCTCTCCCGCCAGCCACCACCCTGCGCCCCAGGCCGCCCCACCCCTGCTCTGGTTGTTAAAGAAGTCACCGAGCTTCCCCAAGAGAACGCTGCATGGGACAGAAGGAGTGCCTCTGTCCCCTCATACTGGCTCCTCTGGGGCAGAGGAGCCCTGGGCAAGCTCGTGCATCCCTGAGAGCTGAGGGCACCGCCTGACCCCTACCATCACACAGCTACTCATTCACGCTTCCCCGACTTTTAAGGAGCCTCCTGTCTCCAGGTCACTACTTCAGTGACACCTCAGCTGGACTCCTTTGCTCCAGGTTTCATAATAAACTCCACAGAAGAAGGCAATTCCTGCAGGAATCCTGCTGTGTGTAAGGTATGGCGCTCTGCTCTTCACCCACAGTAACTCTGGTCTCACCTACAAAATCAGCATCTTAATCCTACTGACCGTTGAGGAAGTTAAGACTCGGTGAGGCAGGCTGGCTCACCCACAGTCTGAAGTGGCGGCGGATGGATGCTGAAACCACTCTTACTGCCTGAGCAGAAAGCAGCGTGTGTGTCACACAGCAGGAGGCCAGAGAAGCAGGCTGGGCTGCCACAGCCAGGGACAGTGCAGCCTGGAGGAAAGCCCAAACACCCCCCGGGGGTGCTCTGGTTGAGAGGGCACCTTCTATAACCAGAGGGCAGGGAGTGGAGCAGCAACTGGGAGCATAAAGGTATTGCTTGAATTTTCACAACCAGCATGTGATCATTCTCCACTCAGGTGAATAAAAGATGAACAGCTTTTTGTGAAATAAAACCAATGACTGTGCTGACTCTGCAGGTGCATTTGGGGGTCCCCATACTGGATACCACAGGAAAGGATGGGGCAGGCAGCCTCTGGGTGGGCACTGCATTCTTCCAGCTAATCCTCAACTGGTCTTGTGAGGAGCCAAGAAACCCAGGGCCCCCTGGGAGGATGCGCCTGTGGAGTATGGCCACTGCCTGGAGTCCGGGCAACGGATGGGAGGGCAAATGTCAAGAAGAGTTCAAACCATCTGTGCTGTAGGATTTTCCTGGGATGTGGTGGCCCAATCCCAGGTACAGTGTGCCCCCTAGTCCCCTGACCCCAGGTCCATGACATCAATGTTTCCTTGTTCTAGGAGCTCTGTAAGAAGAGAGCAGTGGAAGCCGGGCCCCAGGCTGATTTCTGCTCATGAACCTCACCGCCCCTGTGCAGCGGCCGCGTCATCCTAGCTCTCGCCACACCCAGTGGGAATGATGCATTCACTCTCTCTTCCCTGAAATGCCACAGGCTCCAGGAAGGCAGGGCTGTCTCTGTACAAAGCCCAATATTTATTTGTTGAATCACTGCCCACAGCCCATGTGCCAGTATCTCCACCTTGCACACTACCCTTATATACAGAACTCTGTGTGCACTCATTACCCTGCATAGGTACACCCCTAAGCCAGGTGGGGTCCCAGCTGGACCCAGCTAAGGTCCATCTGGTCTGGGCACAGTGGCAAACCGGTGTGGCCAAACCCCAGAAGATCAGGAGCATCCAGGAGAGAACGAATCATAAAGGAGTGGGAGCCAGGCATATGGAGGCCACTGGCCAGGGGCGCCAGGTCCTCAGAGCAGCTCAACCAGGTGCCCTGGTGGGGACTCTCAGCCACAGTAAGCATAGACCCAAGGGCTCGTTCCAGAGGACGCCTCCCAGCCTGGGCACCTGGGGCTGGGGCATCTGTGAGGCCTGAAGCCCACCTGACAGTGACCAGACATGGGGCAAGAAAGTGGGGGACTATGCCTGAGCACCCCCAGAGGACTTGGAGAGAGCCTTTGCCAAGTCAGTTAAAACCAATTGCGCACTTATTCCACGTCAGGTGCTGGTCCAAAGTCTGACCATATCGCTACTTTAATCAGAGGCTTCAGAAACCATTGAGCAGAGGAGCTACCGAAATGTGAGCCAGTACCGTCCGTGTCACTGCTAGATGTCCTCCCACAGCTGCAGCAGGCCTGGGGAACTTGAGGACACACATGTGAACACACCCACCCACTTCTGTGTCTCCTCACCTAGACACCCTCACCCCAGGCAGAGAACTGCAGAAACGCGTGTGCGTGCGCACACACACACACCCTGATGCACACACCCCTACACTCAGAAGCCACATGGAGCATCTTTGGACCCTGCTGTGCTGGGAATAACCCAGGAGGCCCTCCCTCCCACTGACCCTACCACAGTGGGGGCTCTGGGTTCCATTCTGACCCCAGCTGACTTCAAAACTACAACCCTGTGGTTGTTCCTCTAATCCTGGAAGAGCTTGGGGAGAAGTCTGGGGTCAGTGCTCTCTCTGCCTTACTCTCCCCACAGCTTCTTTACACACCAATCTCTCAACGCGAGTGTGTTCAAGCATCCGGAGACCTGAAGGGGCCAAGCAGAGCCTGTGGAGGCGGGGGGAAGAAGCAGAGGCTGAGGTCCACCCTCCTTCATAGGCTCTGAAATGCCACTTTGTTCCATTTTCCTGGATACAGCAGCCCTTCACACTTCAGTATGAATTAGCCTATGTTGCTTTCTTCAAGGAGGGGTTCAGCATGACAGCCCTGGGCATCCAGAGTGAGATGGTAAGGCATAGTTGGGGATATGAAGGAGAGGGATGTCTGGAAAAATCTACCTTCTTTGAGAATCAGAAGTACTAAGGGCAGGTGCTCTCAACCCACCCTGCCCACCTGCCATTACTCTGAAGGAGCAGGAACCCCAGCCTGCACCGTACCATCTGCCCCACACTGCAGACATCAGCAGGCAGGCACACTTCATATTTAGCCATTTTTAATGCTCAAAAGCTCTGTACAAAAAAAAACCCACAAATGAATCCTCACAACACCCCTGTGAGGTAGGTAAGCAAGTATTATTCTCCCATTTTACAGATGGGGAAACTGAGGCAGAGAGGTGACGTGACCGGTCAGTGGTCGCAGCACAGCTCAAAGTCAGGGTCAACCCTAAGACTACGAAAAAGCCCTCCCAAGTCAGCCCTGACCTCTGATCCTTCATCTAGACGTTGTCTGCAAAGAAATTAAAACTTTTTAATACATGCAAAAATAAAAACGAGAACAACAACAAATCTGAGAAGGTAGTGAACAGACATACAGTAGTTTTGCAAAAGAATTCAGCCAAGATGGTCAAATATTTTCCAATACTAGGTAGACAGGAACAACTTCGGCCTCTTCTCCCCTTTTCAAATACCATGACCAGTGACACACCTGCCTGTTTTTCTGCAGAAGTGCATACGCCCAACCAGAAAGGCCTCCAACGAGCCAGGCCAGAGGCCAGCCTCTGCGCTGCTCAGCCCCTGGTTTCAGCAGACACCAGTCCCCAGAGGCAGAGCTGCAAGACTCACTCAACACCACCGCCTCTCCCAGTAGCCTTCCCGCCGTCTGCACAGAGCTGGTCCCGAGCGGACTCAGCCGCGCTCGGCCCCTGCTGCTGCCACTGGAAGACAGCTCGATAGTGCTCAGCAAGGATGGCCTGGAATCCAGGAGATGCCTCACGCCATCCTCAGCCCACCGTCACACACTCCACGGCTCCCTCAGGGTGCCGGGCCATCCTCGGGGCTCCTGCTGCAGCAGGTGGGGACACGGGGCCACCATGGGCTGGTGGGGCAGGGAGGACGTGCAGAGGCACCTGCAGCTGGGGGCTTGGGCCTCCTCAGCCCAGGCTCCGGGGAAATGGAGCAGGCCTCTTCCACAGCGCTGCACCACTTCTGGAAGCTCTCTCCTCCCCAAGAGGGGATCTCTGATGTTTCCCGCTCCTTGGAAACCTCCACAGTCCTGCCAGCCCCGGGGAGGGGACAGAGGGCAAGGCAGCGGCCTTGACGGGACCCACTGGACCATGTGGCTGTCCTTCCTGGAGTCTCCAGGTTGGAGATGGGGCATGAGAGGCAGGAAACCTGGGTAAAGCTGCCTTCAAAGTAACAAATCCACCCAGAGCGCCGTCCACTCCCCAGGACACCAGGGGCCCCAGGGCAGCACTCAGGCAGCCAAAGGAGAGCCGCCTGGCCGGAGAGCAGCAGCCAGGGGAAGAAAGAGAAGGGCACCAGGCTGGCCGTGCGGTCCAACAGGCGCCATGGCTGTCAGAGCCACACTGGGGGAAGGGCGCGGAAGTGGCCAGCAGCTTGGTTTCGCACCTTGAGGAGTGAGCTCCTTGGAGGGCTGATGCCAGGCCAGCTAGTCTGCAAGGCGCACCCCAGGCCTCCCTGGGGGGTAGTTCCAAGGCATGGCTGTGTGCTGACTGTCCTATAAAAAGCTCTTTCAAAACAGGGGTCCCGATCCCACCCCAGTCTCTCTGGGAAGCTGGGGAATTGTGTCCCAGGGCCACTCCCAGTGAAGAGCACCTCACACACTCCAGCCTGCATGGGGTCCTGTGGGAAGGAGCGGGCAGGGCCAGGGGGAGCATGTCCTACAGGAAGTCCCCGGCAGCGGAAGGCTCGGGGCTGTGGCTCTGCTCCTGCCACCGGCAGCGCAGTCTCGAGAAGGGCTGGTCCTCCACATCGTCGAGCTCAGGGAAGCCCAGCTGGTTGAGGATCTCATAGACTCCGGCCTTCGATGCCACCTGGGTGGAAAGCAGAGACAGAGGCCGTGTTCCAGGTGAGGAGGGGTGTCATTCAGGTCACCCTGCCCACCTCTGCCACACCGTCCTCCCCTCACTGAACTAAAAGCACACAGGCAGGGCTGGGCCTCAGGCCAGCTCAGTGACCTGAGCGAGTTGTGTGTTGACTTCTATTAACTGCTCTGAGCTTCAGTTTCCTTATACCCTGGAGGGACCGTCATGGAGGCTACAGAAGCACAGAGAACACTCAGCAGACAGCAAGTCGGGAGCCGGGTGGGCGGCGAAGCACCCCCTGTGCCTGTGCAGCCTCGACACTCCATGGGGACGCTCAGGAGCACAGGGCATCACAGCTGGGGCCCGCAGTGTGGATGCAGGAGCCAACGAGAGCCCCTGGGCTGCGAGTTCCGGCTGGGGGCCGTGCAGGTCCACTGTGGGCCCCAGCCCCAGGTGGGTCTTCCTGGATACTCTCCATGCAGCCCTGTCATCCAGGCCCTGGCGCCAGATTCAAACCATCCAACAACCAGCCCCCTTCTCTCCACACCATCCCGGGGGTTGGGGAGGAGGCAGGTTCCACTCAGAACAAAGGACCGGAGGCAACTCTCATCCCCACCCTCCAGTCATCCCGGGGAGAGAGGGGCTGAGGGCCCCCGAGGCTGGAACCCACAGTCCTGCCTGGACCACAGTTCTCTCCTTCCTTGACACCCATCCAACACCCACCACCCAGGTTCAGCAGGGGAGGGAGTCAAGCTCCTCCCCAGGCCCTGGCTCCCTCAGTTTCCACTCTCCATCCCACCCAGGGGCTCAAAGAGGAAGCTGAACCAGGGCCTGCTTCAGAGGGTGGCCCTGCCATGGCCTTGGTGTGACCTACCCCATCAGGTCCTGACTCACACTCATGAACCTGAGGACCACTCTCAAGGCTCATCTTCAGCCCAGCCGCCCAGCAGCACCCTTCCTGCCCCAGGAAGGGCACTGCAGCAGCCTCCGAGCCTCCATCCCCTCACAGCTCTGAGCCCATCACACGTGCCTAAGCCCCAGAACCTCCCCAGACCCACTCTGGTGGGGGGCAGTGGCCTCCTGTCCTCCCGCCCACCCACGTCATCGGAGCTAATGCTAGCCTTGAGTCCAGATTAGAGCCGCCAGCACTGGTGAGGTCAGGAGGGCGGCTTCCTGGCGGAGAGGGAATTATAGGCCACTTCACCGAGGAGGGCAGGAGGCCTCTCTCCCGACCTAGAGGTGCCGAGGCGGCAGCTCTGCCTCTAAAACCAGCTGAGCCAGAAGAATGGCCCAGCCAGGCAGAGAGGGACGGAGGAGGGGGAACGTGAGGGGAGGTTTTAAGCCGACACAGTGGCCTTAGAACCAACCACTGGCTCTAAGGCTGACCGTGACGAGGTCCGTAACCTCTGTGTGCTCAGGGTCTTTCTCCACAGAACTGGAGAGTAACAGTGGCCATTTAAGGCAGACCAGCCTAGCGCAGGGTCTGGACTCCCCCAACAGCCTTCTGAGGCAGCGGGGACACAATCGACATTGTTTCCATGTTCATGTTGAGGGCAGTGGGCTAGAGCAGAACTAAACTGCCCAAGGTCACAGCTGGAAGGTGGCAGGGCTGGGCCACCATGCCATCGTGCCCTGCAGAGCAGGTGAGGGCTGAGCACATAATGGGCCTGAAGCATCCAGGCCCTGGGGCCTTGGGGACGCAGAGCAGGGCCCGCCTGCACACCGCCCTGTTCTGTCCCCACCTGCCTGTCTCCCCCTTCTCCTCACTCACTCATTGACTCACTCGTCAACTTTCACTGACTGCTGCCAAGCACAGACACCTGGCTGGGGACTCAAATCTCAGCCAAATGGAAGAGGGGGAGACAAGAACGCTTCCTGCTTGACAGGCCTGTCTCCCCACCCCCACCCAGTCCCCAGGGCCCCGCAGGTGAGGCTCTGGGTGGCCTCGGCAGTCTCACCTCCCGCATCCAGGCGCTGAAGGGCCTCTGCCAGGAGCCGGCTTTCTCCAGGTGGAGGTAAGCGTTGAAGAGCACCAGGCAGACGTAGCGCTCCAGGTACTGCAGGCTCCGCAGGCGCAGCCTCCCGGCCTCCTGCTGCGACCGCGCAGCCTTCGCCTGGGGACGCGGGACAGGTCAGCATGGGGTCACCGGCAACACACGGACGCGCCACACACCACACACCCCCCACACTCGCATACCTGCACACACACACCACACACACACCCCACACACTCACATATCTACACACACATGCACCACACACACCCCCCACACCCCACACACACACTTACACCCCCTACAGCCCTCAGTACCAGGGTAGGACGGGAGGAAGGGATTCAAACAGCAACGCCAAGGGGGTTGCCCCGTTCAGGAGTCAGAAACCCACTTCCTAGCTGAGAGCCGTGAACAGGTCACCCGGCCTCCCCGAACCCCCATTTCCTCATGGTGAAATCATAACCACCGTCCTGTTCTGAAGGGCCACCAGACAAGGACAGGCTGCCCCAGGAAAGCTCTGTGCAGGCATCCTCCTCACCCCTGAAATGTGGAGAGGCCCCCCAGGTGGCAGGCCCCACAGGCCCTGAGACTGGACACCCAGCTCCAACCACCAGGAAGGACCCTTACTGCCAGCTCCTGTCAGCCCTGAGAGGGGACATCTCCTCCCCCACCTCCCGAACCTCCCAGGACTAGAGGAAAGACTCTTGGTTCCTCCCTCTCCCAAGCCCTCAGGCCGCCCTCAGGGAGGGGTGGGTACAAGGGCTCCGCTCAGTGATGGGGAGGGGGCCAGGGCAGTGGTCAGGAGGGCTGAGCTCTCGGGGTTACCACTGGGTGCAGCGTGGGCTCTCCCCTCCCTCGGCCTGGGCTCTGAGGCCTCCAGCTGCTCACAGGGGTGAGGTCATCCCTGCCTGGGAAGGGGGAGAAACCCCAGCTCGGACTCTGATCCTGACTGGTCCCTAACTGATTTCTTGCCTGTTTCTCAAATGGCTCGGGAGCAGAGGCAGAAGGGTGAGCCTATGGCCCTCAATCCAGCCCTCACCCTCCCCAAGGCTGGGGACAGATCACAGAAAGGCCACCAGGGGTGAGGGGTGAGGATCAGCCAGAGAGGCAGCACCTCAGGGAGGGGAGAGCGCTCAGGTGTGTGCTGTGGGGGCAGATGGGGGGTTGTGGGGGCAGTGATGTTTTTAACAAGCAATCTTGAGCACCTTCTAAGAGGATGGCACCAGACCACGTGCTGGGGAGGGCAGGGACAGCCAGGAAAATGATAGGTTTCCCAGACAGCATGGGATTCAGCTGGGCCGGGAGGGCCTGGCCTGGCTGGATTTGGATGGAGAGAGCAAGCACCAAGTGGAGGCAGCATGGAGGTGAGGATGGTGCCCAGCAGGGCAGTTGGGAAGCGGCTGGCCTGGCTGCAAGGAGGATGCGAAGCAACAGGAAGGGGAACTAGTCTGCCACCCAATTATGGAAGCCGCTCCTGACACCTGGGAAGTCCATTCCAGAGGCCAGCTTCCCAACCCTGACATGCAGGTGCCTGGGTCCCACCCCAGACCAATCAAACAAGAATCTGTGTGGGGTGGGCCTGGGCATCAGGACCGTGAAAAGCTCCCAGTGACTCTCTGTGGCCAAGGCTGAGCACCTGGGCCTTAGCACTGGGAGCCATTGCAGGTTTGGGGGTAGGAGTGACCTGTTAGCAGAAGTCTCATGGGAGACTAACGCTCAGGAGGAAGGGGACTCAAGGGGTCCTCTGGAGGTTCTCCTCAGTGTAGGGGCTAGGGTCAGGTGGGGGACAATGCCCAGGACACAGAGCCAGCTCTCCCACTGTGGGATGTCTCTGCCACAGTGCCAACCTGAGCTCTCTAACCACTACCTATGTGCTGCCCACTCAGGGGAGTGAACCTTTGGCACCCACCCCGACCCCGGCCTCCACCCAGGGCCCACAGAAGCTCCCTCTGCTCCAGGAAGAGGATGTGGCACAGGGGCTATTCCCCGAAGTGTCCAGAACATCTGTGGGAGGGCACAGCCAGTCCCAGGCCTCTGGGAACCAGGATGGGCAATCTCCCAACAGCTGGGCCACAGCTGGAAGCCTTCATGCTCAGGCACCCAGAGTCAGACTACGTGTGTCTCCTCCAGGCTGTTGCAGGAAGGCTCCCAGATGGGCCCCCCGCCCCAGACATGCATGACCCACAGCCCCAAGAACCAGGAGCTGGAGTGGGCCTGCCTGCAGGGCCCGTGGTCCCCCACCTCCCACTTCTGCTCAGGTAACTCAGCCTCTGATGTCTCTGCTGTCTTTGCTCCTGGGGTCACATGAGTGGACAGTAACTTGCACAGCCAGCCTACCCACACCATCCAGAGGAGCTCTGGTCCCTTGGGGATGGGGCAAGGGTGGAAGACAGAGAGTGGTCAGGGCCCAGGAGAGCTGAGGGCCCCCATCCAGTGCTCTGACTCCCTGAGAGACACAAATGGGTGCTGGTCCTGGATCTGCTGTCTAAATCTCAGCCCCTACATTTCTGGAGGCAGGACTGCTCAGTAAAGTAAGGTATGGGGAAGCACCTGTAAGCCACGAAGAGCCACGTGGTCCACTCGCTCACAGAACAGGAGGGAGGGCTACAGCTTGAGGGAGAAGCCCACACAGGCCCCGCCCACAGAGACACTCGCAGTCTGGCAGGCAGGCAGAAGGCCACTAGGGCACCCAGAGCAGCTGGCCCATGGGGTCCAGGCAGGGCGTGTAGCTGGACTAGGGAGGGCATCAAAGAGGAGGTGAAACCTGCGGTGGGTTAGGAGGAAGGGGGCAGAAAGGTGCCCTGAGAGGGGGAGAAAGGAGTCAAAGAGCGACGCTTGTGGCAGCAGGGGAGGGGTGACGGTGCAAGGCGGGGCTCAGAGCCGGGTGTGGAAGCCCAGCCACATCCTGACCCTACAGGCAAAGGGGCCAGTGAAGGCTTCCAGGGATTTGAGGCTGGGAATGGCCCCATGGCTGCTGCAGGAAGATGACTGGGGCGGGGTGGGGGCAGGATGCCCACTGCTGTCAGGATCAACTAACCAAGTGCTCGAAAAAATGCATTTTTGTTTAGAAATTAGGTAGTGAACCAAAAAAGATTTTACCTAAATACAAACTGTGGCCAATACCACACGACTCCGCCTATCTCTAAGGACAGCTATTTCACGTTGTACGACACTGGGCATTCACCGCCCCATCCCTTACTCTGCTCCCCAATCTCCACCCAAAGGCCCGGAGCCTATTTAAAAGCATTTTCTTAGAAAGAAGGAAAGGAAATCACCCACGGTCCCACCAGGCAAGAGCCTTGTAAACGACCTTCTACTAAAGAGCTCAGAGAAATGTCCAGTGGGCATGGAAAGCCCTCAGCTCTGGGCTTGGCCTGGGGACACGGACTCACCAGCCCTCTCCTCTCCGTGCCCCTGCTCCTATGGGGACAGAGACCTGCTGCCCCCAGAGACACACCGAGGACTGACTCTGAGGAATACTGAAAACAGAGCCCTACTGGTAAGGCAGGGTAGAATTCTCTCTAAATTCAGACCACCGGGCAAAGGTAACGCCCGACACCCCCAGACAGTTCCGTGGGCACATCCTGCCCGACGACAGTCTATGATTTGAGACAATGACCTATCTTCCCATCAAGGCCCTGGTTTCCTTAAAGTCACCCATCTTGGCACTGTCTGGGGAGGAGGACAGGCCAGCCACCTCCTGTCGATAAAAATAGTGGAGCTGCTTTTAAATGCCTGGCAGGCTGTCATTAGCTGCGGCAGAGCTGGACACACTTCCTCGTCCATTGGGACTGAGCCCTAAAATAGAAGGGCCCGGGAAAGGTGGCCAGGGCACTGGGCATTTCAGGCCTCTCAAACCTGCGGTCTGCCGGCATCAACACGGGCCCAGCGTTGTCAGCAGTGGCTGTCTTGAAGCTCTGCTCTTTGCTGGGCCACCTGGGAGAGGCCCATGGAGGCCGCCCCAGGTGTGTCCAGGGCCCACAGCATGCCACGTGCCGGGCTGAACACGTCACATCCAGATCTGATTCTTAGATTCTAATATGCTCTCCCAGCGCCCCCGTGAAGGAACAGGGACATCCCATTTTGTAGATGAGGCTCTGCAAGGTTAAGTAACCACTCAAGGTCACAGCGTTCCAAGCTGCGACATGAACTCCCAAATCCCAGCTCTCCTACCTCCATAGCCCCTTCACCACAGTCCCGCCTCACCCCTGCCTCTGTGCTGGTACCTCGCCCCTCCTCCTGCCCGAACCCTCTCTCCTCTGGGCCTGGCCCTCTTCAGCTTGGCCCTCCAGGCCCAGGATAAGCCCAACTCTCCCAGCGAGGGCTCTGAGTGCTGCGCCCCACAGCCCCACCCTTCCTGCCTCTGCTCTCAGTCTGAACCATTTCATTAAATATGCGATACATTCCATCTTGAGGGTTTCTAATTGCCTCACCAAGGCATGATCAGTCTTGACAGTGATAAGCCCAGGGGCAGGCACCAGATGACAACCAGGTCTCTACCCCCGCTCCTCCTCATGGCCCAAGGGTCTGGCTAGGACTTGGTGTGCAGCGGTCCCTGCTTGGTCAATGAGTACCCACTGCCTGGGTCATCTCATCCCATCTGAGGGGCCACTCCATCCTTCCTGCTGCTCAGCCCGAACCTGACATTCCTCCTTGACTTCTCCCTTCTCAACCCCACACCCAACCAACTAGGAATCCCATTGATTCTACTTCAAAAGGCTCCCAGAAGCTGCCCACCCCTCACCACCCTGGTCCAAGCCACTTCATCTGAGTGACAGCCCCTGACTGGCCTTCTTGCCACCACCGGCACCCCACCCGCTGTTTATTCTCAACACAGCACCAGAGTGACTCTACCAGAACATTAAGGCGGTTCCTCTACACAACACCCTGCACTGGCCCCCGGCACCCAGAGTAGAAACCGAAGTCTGTGTAATCCTTCTGTGCAATCCCAGACAAGGCCGCTGCAGTCTGCCCCCATCCCCCATAACCTCTGACCTCCTCTCCTGCCCCCTCTCCCTCCCTCTACTCCTCAAACACACCAGGCAGCTCCCATCTCAGGGCCTTTGCACTTGCTGTATCCTCTGCCTGGATGTTGGCATGGCTCCCTCCCTCACCCACTT